TGGAGAAGAAGATTTTTGAAATTTTAGTCAATTTGACCCTTTTTGGCCCCGCCCCTCAGGCCCCTGGGGGCTTAGGACTAAACCGGCAACTATTTTTGTTGACCTTTGTCCATGGAAGGTCCCTGCAAAATTTCATTGAAATTGGTTCAGGGGTTTTGGAGAAGAAGTCGAAAATGTAAATTGTTTACGGACGCACGACGGACGACGGACGACGACGGACAAAAGGCGATCGCAATATGTCACTTGAGACCTTGTCTCAGGTGACCTAATAAAAGCAATCAACATATCAGTCATTTGTTTTAATGAAAAAAGATGACAATGAGAATGAAATGATAGATGGTATTTTGAAACAATTGATCGGTATATCTTCATTTTTGAAATAGTATGTTATTTGTAAACATTTTCAGATATTTATATGAATGTGTCACAGTAGAATGAAAACCTCACACTTACCTACAGCTATGCTAGTGCAGCACCGTGTTGACCGACAACGTGACAGATAAATCATTGTTGTTGATAAAACCAAAAACAAGTCGTAAATGTCAGTCTTGGTATTTTAAACATCCAGTGGACGGTTTACCAATACACACATAACTGAATATATTATTTTGTATCTAGCACAGTTTTAAGACATCTTACTTATACCGTTTTCAACAATTGTCTCTGTCCTGTACTCGGTTTTAACGATATATGGTAATTTTAACATATATCTCCGGTCTAAAAAATCTCGGAATCCTTTTATCTCGAAACAATATATTCTATGGATCGTGATATGATAACAATTGGTTATCAAATGTATTTAGTGAGCTTATCTACCTAAGGTTCTCTGAAGTGGTAAACAGTTGATAGTGTTATAATAATATACAACAACATTTGATAAAGCGCCCTATCTAGCTAACATAAGCCACTCTAAAGCACTTTACAGTACATAGATATAGAGTTTTCCCGAGTGTCTTTTTAAAGTTTGAAAATTAACTAACTCGAGTTAGATAAACGTGTTAACCAACCGACACGAGTAATGTAAAGTGTTTCTACCACTATTTCCCCATCTGACGGGCTCTGGCTGGTTGGCTGGTTGGCGTGTATTTGTAAAATTGTCACAAATTATCGACTTGTTTCTGTTGCATTATTTCCGCGGATACTCTTCCGCGCCGGAAAGACGCGTGATTAGGCCGCCTAGTCTATGTAGATATATATAGTAACAAAGTTTATAATGGCGTTGTTTCGTCATCGTAACAGTGGATGAGCGGTTTGATTGTGAACTCGAAGCCATACTCGCACGTGGAACCTACTGAATGAATTCAAGAATAGAACTTCCTAACCAGATGTGAAATCGTACAAATTGGGGGAATAACAACACAGTTTTGGTGTTTCACTTTTAAAGACAGCATGCGATTTGTCAGTGTTAGACGGCATTAATTTGATCTGATTTATCAAAAAACAAACTGCGTTTGCGATGCAAACAAACACAGAAACATCTAGTACTTAAAGATTGTTCTATATATTAACCGTGAGTAGATTGACCACTACCAATGCAAAATTCATGTTACAAATTGCTTAATACTTTCACACCTTAGCGACTGAAAAATATAACACAAAACCAAGTGCATACCCGTTTTACTGACAACTGTATCGGTTAATGAAGCTATTCAAATAACTTTTTAGTAACCCTCCACAATAGAAACTATATGTAAATGCGAACTACCTTTAAGCCATCTTTTCAGGAAATTGGTAGTGCAACGATAATTAATATTGAATGGCTATTGATACTCAGTTGTTACAAACAGAAAGTGATGCACCGGGACTGGAATAATGTTTCGTAGTTTAATACATCATAAATGGTTTAAATGTGGATGGTTAGATTTGAAAGACAAACTTTTTTTTTCTTTTCTGTTTTGTTCTTTATTGGTATTTTAATTACACCGACTTCTCGACCATATTAAGAATATTTGATATTATGTTCACAAAGGTATCATTACTTTTGTTGCAGCAAACAGGTCTAAGACAATTAATATGAAAAATGTATTACATGACTACGTTAATTAAATAAACAATTTGTTTTATAATTTGTAATTACGTACTTATTTTCGTTTTCATTACAATGGATAATTGATATCAAATGGTCAAAGGAAACACGTGTGCCCATCTGTTGTAACGTCTCGCCATGTCTCGTTTAAGTTTGTGAGAGTTCAGTCACCCTAATATAAAAATCCATTGCATTATAGCAAAATGAAATATGTAATTTAAACAGTGTGTGTCGTTGTTACGCACTCTATTGCCATTAAAGGTCCCCATGGAGTTATTCTAACATGTTCCCTAACGTCCGCATTCACTCCGATATTAGACCTCGGTGTGTCCATGTCATTTTTAATTGGTTTTAACTACATATATAAAAGCCAGGGATGACTTTTAACGACTTCAAAATCTTATACACACGCTCATCTGTAATCTTATATATATACGTTTATCAACAAAAATAACAAGAAAGAAAAAAGGAACGATACGAAGTTCATTCTCGATTAGCATCTTGTTTAAACACATCTTCCGATCCAGTTAGAACATTACTAGGTCAATCAAATCATATCAATATAACTTTAAACTGTGGTCATCAAGGAAGATGTAAATTAAATAGATAAATCAGAAGATTCATCCTTACATACGGTAAACTTTCCCAGGTCCTGTTGGCTTCATTTTGCGTAGACCAAACGCATATATTAGTTGCTTTAACTGTTAGTAAAATATTTCCAATCAGGAACTTATGAAATCGTCGCATTATAGATATATGTATTTTATCATATCGATGGTACACAAATGTTTAAACACGTCACAGAAACCTTTTCCAAAGTCCACACTAATCAGATAGCAGGCGTTTTTCTTCAATCCATATCATATCCACTACGACATAAACTACATTAATCATGCTCTAGAAATGTTGCCATAGCAGTATAGAAAAATACCGTAAAGAAAATTCTGTAAATATTTCTGAATTGTGAACTTGAAACCGGCGAGCATGGTTGTGCTCCCATTTATTTTGATTCTCAGAAGTATCCAAGATAATGTGCTACTTTCAATGGATTAACTAGCACTGCTGTTTTTAGTTTAATATAAAGATATTTTCAATACCTTTCAATCTCTTCAAATGATCAGGAACAGCATTTTCAAATATATTTTTTTTGAACGAGCGAAAACACTTCTCTCGATTTCTTGCCAAAGCACTTATTAGGTTGTTAAAGTTCCTAAGGTTCATATTAGCAAAGTATTAGTGAACAAAGCTATTAAATGACAATTAATCGTACTCAATTGCTAAGTCTATGGAGAAAAAAACCTCTCTTTTTTTTAACTAATATATTAATCACTGTTGTTGGCCCAAATTGAATCGAACAGGTGGGCTTAATGTGGGAGGAAACAGTAGTACCTGGAGAAAACCCACGTATTTGGGCAGGAGACCGATACCTTTCACGTCCGATCTGGGAGTCGAACCCCGGTCGCCTGGGTGAAATGTGAGTGCATTATCTACTGAGCCACCCAGCCATCCGAGTCCTTAACGTAGGAAACAACATAATTACATAGATCTTTAGCAGGAATGGTTTGCGTATTTATTTACATGCATTATTTATACAAAACGCAGAGAGAGAACACTGTCATGGGCTGTGGGAAGAGGCTGGTACAAAGTTCCCATCATTCACATACAAAACGTTATTATTTTTTAAACTTTGATAAATATGTATGTTTTAACTACAGTGTATCCCATTTTGTCCACAATTCGTCTGGTTTTAACCTTTCTTAACCAACAGTTTCTGGAATATCCAAACAACAATTTTTAAACTCATTAATTCCACGTCCAGAAAAACTATACCCGCTCCCCCAATAACTAAAGACCTTTCACCATTATCGGCTATCAGTATTGACTTATCTGTACATCAACAAAACAGACAGTGAACGGAATAATACGGCGCCAAAATTCCGATATTATTATGTGAGTAAAATAGTTTCAAATAGTTCGTTTTGATTTCCCTTATTTTGGAGCACAATGTATCACTTCCTTATATGGAATTTCGGAAATGACTAAATGGTTGAAAGATTTAAACATATTTTTAGGTCATTTTAAAGATGTGTATGTCTCTAAAGGGGATCTTACTAGTATTGTGTCATTTCCGAAAGATTTTATCTTGTTTTGAAGATAAGTAAAAAATGCTGGTAGATCAATTGGACAGCTTATTCATTAAAATTACAATTTAACATAATAATTCTCATTTTCAGAAAAAATATTTTCCATATCAGGTATCGTAATAATCCTCCATCTATTAATCAAAAGGAATCATTGCAATACCTGAACTATTTGAGGAAAACGGGGTATTTATTTATTTATTTATTTATTTATTCCCAATTCAACAGACCCAATGGTCCACATACAGTACAACATAAGTATGAAACATCACAGTCAGTTATGCATGTAACACAGAATAAAAGATTTTCATATTAAAAAAAAATGGAATTAGTGACAGCAAATACGTATGGTAAACTATCCACAGACATCCAGCATTCACAGGTCTGATGTCATATCTTGTTCGACATGTGTGGGAAAAACCCATAAAGTATGTCTCCTAATTGCATCATCATCAAGACCACGATAAATTAATGATGTGTGAGTATAGTTATTAGAGTTCATTATAAAATCCATCCCTTTGTTGAGTGTCAATATCGTGACTATAATAAAAGAAATATTGAATTCGTTATTACATTAATTGTGGAGTTGTGGAGTTTAAAACAGGTCAAATATAATGGTAAATTATCCCAGACGACATCTGCGTTTGGGTCTGATAAATGAAAGGTAAATTTGTTCTAGGGAATTCCGATCACGAATAAATTTTAATTTGCGTAATACTGAAAGTCGCTTGGATACTTTTGAAATTATGGAGTCTACATGATCTATCCAACAAAGCTCTGAGTTTAGTGTGACGCCAAGATGTTTATGAGAATTAACAGTTTTTATGATTGTGTTGTTCATCGTCAATGCAGGCATTTGACACTAATTATGTTTTCTGCTGATCAGTTGAGATTCGCTTTTATCTGCGTTAAAATTAACTAACCATTTCGATGCCCATTCCTTTTTAGAGATCCCTATTACACATTTATATATAAATCGACGTGCAGACGCTCATCAGATAAAGCGGTTAAGGGGTGACGCCATGCTTCAGTAAATGCTGAAATATTAAAGTCACTTAACTCAGTGAAAAATGTGTCCATTCTTTGTAGAATATTTTGGACATTATGATGAACAATACTGATATTATCTTTAATTGGGCCAGGGTTAGTTACGATATCACCACATACTAAGATGAATGCAATTAAGAAAATAAAAAGACTTTTTTTTTTTTTACAAAACATGACCTCCAAAGTCATATTCCACTTACAGATGTTTTTGGCGTGTTGTACGATGTGTGTTGGCAAAGGGGAATCCCGTTCTTATCTTACAC